TGTAAACTTTGTTTTGACAACAAAAACCTAGTCCGGAGGTACGGCGATGGCACAGGGACTGAAGCCCTGCTTCGTCACATCAAGCGAGAGCACCAGGGTAAGGCAAAGCTTCAATTCACTTACTCGATCGTCGCATCTCATGGAAGTCAAGTTCAGATATACTCAAGAAATATTTTCAGATGAGGTCCCTGAAGAGCCGATATCGAGCGTGCTTCTCTCATCATGGAGAAAGTCTGTGACTGATGGCGCTAAACAGCAAACGCACGATTCGAAGAAAGCTAAGAAGTTCAGGCTCGCTAGAGATCTCGCCCTCTTGATCATCAGAAATTCCGGTGCATTCGACGGAATCAAGAGGGGCTCTCGACGATGTATACGATACTCTGAAGGAAATCGTGGTCGAAAAACTACCGAACGACTCCCAGTTCCACATTTCTGCCGATACATGGACTGACCGTTATCGACGATTCCCATACATTGCTATCGTGGTTCATTACCTGGACGCGGACTTCAACATGATGTGCGTTCCCCTGAAAACGGATTTCTTCCCCCGCACACAGGAGTTGCCATCATAAATGAGGTCAGGAGTACCTTGAGAGATTTCAAGTTACCGGAAAGCTTCATGTTCTCCGCAATATCCGACTCTGCGAGCAACATGATAAGCGGATTCCGCGACGTGAAGCACATCCGGTGTGCGGATCATAGAATGCACTGAGCCTTGACTGCGGACTTCTGTAAAACGCGCATCGGCCAACGCGTGATGGATCTCCGTGCCAAGTTGATGAGGGTACATCGTCACCTTATCTTCAAGAAAAATTTCGTTGCCTCTCTGGCGAAAGGAAAGCTTCAGGAGCAATACCTCGAGTCACTCAATAGAGCTCGAGAGATAGAGACGGTGTGTATCCTTCTGATCCCCATCCGCACCTCGCTCGGAGGTTATAACTAGAGACCGGGACTTCATGCACTAAAAAAAGCGAAAATATGCATGCAAATATGCACTGAAAACAACCGAAATATGCTCCAAAAATGAGCGATACATGCACTCAAAAAAGTTGATCAGAAGCGCCTACTCGGGAACTTCCGAAGGATTCGTTCACTGTTTATTCACATACGTCGTCCCGATTTTAAATTATTCATGTACACAAGTTAGTTCATTGGTTGCAGTAGACTATCACATGCATTCTCAGGTTTTCAAACGTGAAATTCTGTCGTCGATCGCTCAATATGTGCTTCAAAGTAGAGAAGCTTCTCTCGACGTCTACAGAGGTGATCGGAGCAAACTTGAAGCAAGCCAGCTCAGATGAGTCCAAACCAGGGACTCCATCTGGTTTCCAACCTGGGCTCGAGGGAGGAACCCGAAATGAGCTCTGATGTAGGCCAGATTCTGCCTTACTGAAGCTTTTTTCAGTAAGTTTTGTGCATCTCTGATCCTCGCCGCTTCATTCGCGTCGAGAGCGCGAACCACTTCCGCAAATCGCTCGAAGTGTTCAGCCTAAAAATTAGCGGCATTCAACCAAGTGCCCCACCTCGCTTTCTTCATATAGGCTGCTCCGTCTGTAACGAAGAGCAGAACTCTCTGGTGCTCAACGCCGGTAGGCCACAGTAAGCTCAGTGAATTCATGAAGGCTTGGGAAATGGTCGAACTGTTCGTCTAATTTAAACATTCCGCATGCAAGAGGAATCTTTCACACTCCGAGGTATCCAGTGTTCCGACTATGGTGTGAGCGATGAATCGACCCACGGCATCAGTGCTCTCGTCAATCGAGATCCAAATATATTTTCCTGCGACGCGACTTCTGATGTATTCCAGCTTATCCTCGTATATACTTCGCAGGTAGCCCTTTCGAAGAGTCGAAGAAGATGGGACCTCTTGCCTAGCGTGATTCCGGAGGAAGTTCTGGAGCTTTTCATTCTCAAGTTTCCACAGCGGAATCCCGGCCGAGACAAAGGCATCACAAAGATCCATATAGAATTGGGACAGCTTCCCTGATGCGCGATTCAGTGTTGTCAATCGCACCGAGCTTGATGAAGAAGATCTTTTCTTCTTCTCAGCTAATGATTTACCGCAAACAGCTGACCGGTGACAGCCGACACCTCTCTTCGCGAAGCTCTCTCTAGAGCATCGCGCAGCTGACCGCTGCCAATAGTTCAAAGTCTCCCGTCACCAATTGTTGGAACCGATAAATGCGGTCACAGCGCTGCTGTAATTGCATTATCGCAGATAGGAGGTAGAAAATTAATGATATATGCAAAATCATGCTCCATTGCTCATTTTATGCATTTTCGGAGGAAAAGTCCCTAAATATGCATTTATATGCATAATATGCATTTTGCATGAAGTCCCGGTCTCTAGTTATAACTAGGTGAGCAGTTGGAGGAGGTCTCTTCCGTGAGAGAATCTGATTGAATCTATCCGGATCTATCGAATGGAATCTTTCCGTCCGCAGGCCGGGGACGCAGACGAGCGCTACGCTGACGGCGACCTGGGAGACGAGTCACCACAGGGTTATGATCCCAGAGGCTTGAGGGCCGACGTAGCTACACGCTGGAGTTCCGTCTGTTTGTTATTTGAGTCAGCCGCAGCGTCTCCCGAAGTGTTGAATGAAGTTCTGATGAGAACTGACTCCCATGAGTTCCTCCTCACCGCCCCAGAAATCGCAGACATCCTTTGCGCGAAGCTATATCGAGTAAGTTTCGGCGGCCTTTCGGGAGAGTCACTCGATACAGTTTCGATTCAATATGGGATGCGGCCCGCGTCCCTATGACTTCGAAACGGACGGGGAAGCTGATGCAGACTTCCCAGGTGATCTTGGACATGATGATCCTGATGCAAGGAACGAAAAAGCCGTCAACAAGCATTGTCTTTTTCGGAGTCATCGATATCGAGACGACTTTACGAGAAACGGCCGCCGATACAGACCCGACTTCGAATACAGCTGAGATCGAGTTCAAAGAAGAGCTGGTGTACTTTGGATCCAATGACGAAGACTCTTTTCATTTGTGACAACAAAAGTTTCTTGCCGCGTATATGACACATAGTTCCGATGTTAAGTTAAGGCATGCCCTTCCCTACACTGTTATTGGGATGGAAAATAAATTGTGGTCTCATAGTTCATCTTCTCTCTGATATCATTCCCAGGGGCTATCTCCTGCGCCGAGGTGCGCTGCTGTAACGCCGCGGCGTGCCGCCGCGCCGGGTATTTCTCCCCCGCCGCCGTCAACTTCGGTCGCGGCGCACAGCTCTGCTCGGTAGGCTCGTCGGTTTCAGTTTTTTCTTAAGTACCGAACCAACCTCTAAGGGCGTTGCCGTTGGTTTCGACTCCTTCATGCCGAATTTCTCCAGAATTCTTCTGATTGTTTCTCTCTGATCGAGTACGATTACTTTCTCATTCGGTCGCTGTGTGATTTTGAGTCCTAGACCGTAAGCTGCTGTTCCGAGGTCTCTCATAGGGAATATCTCTTCGAGGCTTCTTTTTATTTTCGTCTGGAACGAGGAGCTGTTGGTGAAGATGAGGAAGTCATCTACATAGATGGTGAGAATGAGGACCTGCTCTCCTTCAGTGATGAAGTAACAGCATCTGTCTGCCTTGAACTCATGCAAGCTGATCTGTTTGAGTCTCGCATTGAGAGTTTCAAACCACACTCGTCCGGCCTGACGGAGACCATACAGGGACTTCTTTAGGAGGCAGACCTTGTCGTCCCCGATTTCGAATAACGCAGGCTGTTCCATCAGTACTTCTTCCTCCAACTCTCCGTTTAAATACGCGGTTTCGACGTCGAGTTGATGGACTTTCCATCCTTCAATCGCAGCGTGCGCAAACAAAAGACGGAGAGTTGTCATCCTAATGACCGGTGAGTCGGTCTCTTGGAAATTCACTCCCTTGATCTGACAGCATCCTCGCCCGACGAGTCTCGCTTTCAGTTTCGTCGTCCGACCCTCACTATCCCTCTTCCTCTGGAAGACCCATCTTGATCATATTATCTTCTTATCTTCTTACTGATAGCAGGCGACGGGCCGCTATCGGATGTTATGGACGCCCCGCATGCACTAAAAGTGATATACAAACGGGGTGTCATGATCAAACAGGGGAACAACCCCAAAACAATTGAAGAGCACGTTGCCAAAACGAAATTGGTTTTGAGCAAGAGAGAGCAAACAGAGATAAAAGACATTCTCTGGTTTGTAGGGCTAGACGACTTGCTAAGCGCCAAATTCAGACTCTCAGAAACAGATGAAGTGGTGTGTGCTCTTCAAAGAGCCATTGGTGAGATCTCGGAGGAGCCGGGGGTACGAACTGTATCCTGGGCGACTCTAGTTACCCCTCCTGTTGATGCCCTCAGGCATGTAGCCGAGGAAATCAACAACAAAATGTGCGAGTGGGCGAAGGAGATCAAGAGCGGCAAGATCCGCATCCTCAATCTATGGCACATCGGTGCC